GTCATTCTCCTGACCATGTCTTTGGCCTCTAGGTTCATCACGGGCATGCCCCTCATGGTTTCTCCTTTCTTGATGTGGGTTCCTGCCCATGACTGCAAATCTTTCTTCTCTTTGTCGGAAAGGAAAAGGATAGTAGGCCCTAGGAAGCCTTCTGGGCTGGTTGGCTCCTCCTCTGAGGGCATTGGCTGGTGGATTATTGGCCTGATTCCTAGCTCTCGGTGGTAATTCTCCATCCATAGGCCCTAAACACAATGGGAATATTGCGTAAGCACAAAAATCAAGGTGCAAGGAAATCCAGTAGGACAGCAATGAACATGCTCTCATTTTCAAAAACAACGAAGGAGCTTAGGTTTCAATGGGAGAGAAAAAAAGGTTTTTGACCAAGTCATTTAATAAATGTAAAATAGATTACTGTGTTGCCATATATATTATGAAAATATTTTTTCAGAGGGTGCAAAAAGGGAAAAGGAATAAACATTTGCTGAGTGCCTAATACATATTAGAGAACAAATACTCGCAGTCTATCATTTAATCTTCATAAGCTGGGATTTCAGAGGATCAAAAAGATCAGCTCATTACTTCTAGTTTCTTGCCAGTACCAAACAACAGTCAGCACATCAGTTTCAGAGCCAAACAGACCTGGTTCAAATCTTGACCTGGGCATTTCCTCACAAGTTGTATAATTTCTCTAAGCCTCAGTATATGGGTTGTTGTAAAAATTAAATATTTGTAAAATGCTTAGTATAGTGCAGTATCTGACACATAAAAAGCTCTCCTTAATGTTAGTCATTACTAATAGCACTAGTAATAATTTTCTATTGACTATAGATTTCTAGAGCCATGGGTTCTGCCTCTAAGCAACAGAGGCATCAAGTGGGATAAAACTATAAAGGGAAATGCTTCTGAAACTTTGCCCAGCATCAGGTGGCAAAGGGGAACGTGGGGCTTCCTTTACAAGGATGTTTTTGAGCTAACTAATAGTCTGTGAAGGAAACTGAAAAATGAAAGTCAAACTTTGAGCAAATTGAAAAACGAAACTTGTTTTCCTCCTTTATGCAACACGAGTTCATTTACATAGTATTTATCTATTACCAACCCTCAGAAGAGGTGTTGGGGGAGGGAGGTGACACACCTGGTACACATAGGAAAGCTAACTTCACCCCGTGGATGAAGCCAAACTTGTCTTCCTTGATCTGCCACACATTTCATAAGTGACCTTGGCCAACATACCCAAGTCCAGTTTTTTTCACTTTCCTTTCCTCTAAACTGATTCTGAAGCGGATCCAACTTTGCCGAATGACTTGGAGATTTTAAAAACAAACAAAAAATAAGACTGTATATAATGATGTGATAAAAAATGTTTTGAAAGTTTCAAACGCACATCATATTCAAGATGATCATTCCACTTCATGACAGCAGATGCTAAATTCATTTATGTATGTTTTTCCTAGTTTTGCACTTTGTAAAGAAAATTTTAATGTGGCAACATAAAGCAACATATGGTAAAATATAAATACTGTACTACTGAACTCTAAATTTTTATAATTGTTACTTTCATATTTACTTTCCAAACTCCCAAGTTATCAGAAGAAAGTCCTACTTTTAATATTTTTATCTGATTAGAAGACTAGATGTTTTGGAAAAAGGAAAATTGTGTTGTTTCTCATTGTTTCAATATTCACACAGATCAAAATGCTACACTTCTTCCTCATTTGTTCCACGGCTAAAACTCAGACAACATGTTGCCAACTTAGGGAAAAGCAAGAATCCATTTGGTTTTGTTTTAGAAAGTTCTAAGGAAACAGAACAATCACAGCAGTAGAGTAAAGCTTTTGGAACTAACTGCTTTGGTGGCTAGGACTCTAGACACAGGCTATCAAATACATAGGCACTAGTTATGTGTGGCTATTAAGTATCTTAAACGTAACTAGTCTAAAATAAGATGTGTAAAATAACACATAGACTTTTGAAGACTTAATACCAAAAACAGTTAACTGTCTCATTCAATTTTTTTATACTGATAGCATCTTAAAATGATAATATTTGAATATTGGGAGGTAAATAAAATATTAAAATTATTAAAGTACTATAATAAAATTCTATATTCAATTACAATAATATATTACTTGAATATATTGGCTTAAATAAGACAAATACCAAATTATCAAATTTCATTAAATTAATAGTAAATTAAAAAAATGGATCTCACCTGTTTCTCTTTGCTTTTAACGATGCTACTAGAAAAATTTTAATTTACGGTTTTGGCTTGCATTATGTTTCTATAGGATAGTGTTGCTTTCAACCAGAGTGTTATTTCCATTTCTGACACCTCATCCTTATCTTTGTTCAAGTGAATTACACCCGTTCATCAGCTCCCTTAGGGAAAGGGGAGGGCTGTCTGTTTTTCAGTCAATAGTGTTGTAGCTAAGGAACAAGCCACTCTTTACTTGAGAGATGCAGCTGATCTTAGGTGGGTCTGCTCATTCATAGAGAACTCAATTTCCTTCCCATTAGTTAGAAAACCTTGCCCACCTCTGTGGTTGGTATGAGGATTCCTGGGCCTGGCATCTGGACAAGGTCTTCTGTCCTCCATTTCTGAGTCACCTGAATTCTTCCACGTTCACGTTCCTTTCAGTTATCTGGAAATCTCCACAGGTTGAGCGTTATTATTATTAGTACTCTCAAAACACAGCACCTAGCAGAAAAAAGCCAAAACAACATCAAGCCAATCCCTCTCTTTACATCTTAATGATTCGTTAACTAAGAGTTAAACACAAATTTTAAACATGGGCACAAGTGTCCAACTCTATGAATGTCCAATTATGATATAAAACATTAAATTCACAATTTAGGTGATCTCAAGGGGTTAACTTTCCCCCTTATCTTTATCCTTGCACTTTCTCAGTATAGAGGGAATGTCATCATTTCCCATTAAAAACTACTGTTTGGTTTATGCCTTTAGCCAAGTGACTTAGTCTGTTGCTAGGTTTCATTTTCCTCTGCTATAAAGCAGACATTGTTGCCAGGAGAGAAAGAGGAAGAGGAAGCCCGTTTAAGGGAAATTCTCAGTCTAACTCATACACATCATGTGGGTTGAACTAGGGAAATAAAAAAAATAAAAAAGCATGGGGATTTTTTGAGACTGTCCATCTCACTGAGTTTTTTTTTAAAATATTCACGGTTGGAAAATGTGAATAGATTTGAGGAATAGCTTTTATTACCCTCATCAGAAAAAGAAGTCCCTTTCCTTCCTGCTGGCAGTATTTTTGGCGAATCTCCCCGCTCAGCGTTATCAATGCCAGCTCTCATCATGGCACAGGTTCAATGTTTATAGTCTTTTTTTTTAATTATTATTTAAAAAATGATCTGAGGAGAAAAATTCCTTTGTCCTCTTGTTGAAAAAGACTAAAACAGGAGCTCAAAATTGTATGTGAAAGAAAAACAATGGCAAAGGAAAAGGAGGAGCAGAGCGGAACAGGAAACGCTATGACAAAAAGCAAACCGAAGTGGGTTTCTTTGGGAATCAAGTCCTCAAAGGCTGCAAGAAGAAAACCAGCGATGTTCAAGCTGGTACAGGGATCCGATTACAGGGGAAGGCTGATGACCAGGGTGAAGCAAGAGGCAGCGCCGGGTTTCAGGGGCAAGTCTCCAGGGTTCTGAGCGCGCATAAGAAAGGATGGAGAAGTCACCCGGGAGCCCACTGGGTGGTGATGGGCACATGGGGTCCCGTGGGAGCCAGGGCAGTGTGGTGGCATCAAAAAGGAGGCTGAGGCAGGGGGTGGCAGGAGGGGAGAGCTGGAGGGGTATGGGGCCTCAGGAAGGAGGAGGGGGCTGGGCTCGGCCGGGGGTGCTTGCTGAAGTGATGGGGAGTCTAGGTGCGGAGGGTGCTTCGCAGAAGATGTGGGATGAATGAGGAGGTGAGGACGCTAGACGATGAACAGGGTGGCGGTGGCAGCAAGGGAGGCTAGAGATGGGGGTAGGGGGCAGAGGAGAGCGCGATGATGAGGCCAGAGGTGGAGGTGCTGATGGAGGGCTCTAGAAGGATAATGGAGGCCCTGGGGGCAGAGCAGGGGAGCGGGGAGAAGAGGAGGTGAAGAGGGGGCCCGAGGTGGAGCAGAGAGGTGAGGGGATGCAGGTGTCGGGCACTGAGGTGATAGGGACGCCGAGGAGAGAGGACGGGACGGGGATTCTCAGGTGGATGATGGGGGCGCTGAGGAGGGTGTCAGAGGTGACAGGGGCGCTGGGGTGATGGGGCGCCGAGGGGGGTGATGGGGGTGAGGAGCTGGCGGGGTCGCTGAGGCGGGGCGCCCGGGCAGAAGCGCAGGCAGTGGCAGCGGAGGGGCGGCGTGCGCGCCGGGGGTCGCGGGAGCAGAAGCAGGTGCGCGCCCGGGACGGGTGGCGAGGGTCACTCACCTGGTTCCAGCCCGTCTGCTCGTCGCCGCCGCCCCCGGGTGCTGTGGGTCGGGACCCGACAGGTCCGCGGCTCCACCCGGCGCCGCGCACTTTCGGTTTCCCTTCCTCGCAAACACAGGGCGGGGGGCAGGGCCGGGCAGGCGGACGCGGCGGCGGGGGGAGGCGTAGGGGGAGGCGGGGGAGGAGGAGCGGCCCGGGCACGGCCGGCGCCCCCGCCCTCTGGCCGGGGTGGGCGGACGCGCGGGCGGGCGTCGCCTCAGCTCCCCGCGGCGGGCTCGGGCGGGCGGGGCCGAGGGGAGGGGATTGCAGAGGGCAGGTTCACGGCAACCGAGGCCGCTGCAGGCCTCAGCCGGCCCCGAAAGAGGGGGGGCCCGGAGGGCTTCTTGGTGCGTGTGAAGCGCGACATGGCGGCGAGGCCGACGAGCCCGGGCGGCCCCAGTGTGAACGGGGAAGGAGGCGGAGCTAGCGCCTTGACAGCCATTAGATAGTCTGGTGGACTACATTTCCCGCGTGGCGCCGGTGGGGCCCCAAAGCCTCGAGTCTAGTGCGCAGGCGCAAGAGCCCCCTCCGGTTATATAAAGGAGGGCCGAGGAGCCTGTCGTTCTTTTGCTTCCGCGCCGTCTCCGTTTCTGGGTGTTTGTCCTCATGCGTCCTCCGCATCAGATGTCGTCCCGCCCCGGGAACTTACTGCTCTGTGGGGTGAGTTGAAACCCACGGTTTTCCCTTCGAGATCTCTGTAACTCGTCTTTGCCATCGCCCCTTCCCGAGGCTCCTCTCCATTCGAGGTGGAGAACCCGCGCATTGTATACAGACCCGAGTACTCCTTGGCCGGTGTAAATGATGACTTGACTTTTTTCCCCATCGGATCGATCATGCTGATCTCTGCATACTTGCCAGTTAGTTCTGATAACGTCGGCCTCCAAAGACCGGGCTATGTGCTTTCTCCACCGTGGAAAGATGGCGACTGGTGCCCTTTCTTTGAGGCCCGGCCATGTGCTTAGTCCACCGTGGGAAAGATGGCGATTGATGCCTTTTCTTTGTTGGTTCGCAGATTGGCGCGATCAGAGGGCGCAGAATGGATCTTGGCCGCGAGGATCGTGCCTGGGCCGCCAGGGGAACTCTATGTAGACATCTAGAACCTTGCGCGTCTTCACCGCTGGTGTAAGCATTTGTTCCCCGGCCTATTGCAGGAGACGCATGCTCTGATGATCCTCTGTTTGCTAGCGGAACTTGGAAACGTAGCTAGTTTTTGTGAAGCCCAGTTTTAGGTACTAGGTGTTAAAGCGTTCTGGATGCTTCACTTTATTGCAATTCTCAGAAATGGACTCATTAGACTTAATGTTGCTGATGAAGAAAAAAGCTTTAAGAGACATAATTGCCTGAAGTGGAATAATCTCTTTAAGGGTAAGAAATGCCCAAACCTGTAGAGCATTTTTATGAATTTGATCCAGACTGACAATATAGGCCCACAAAGCAAAATCTCTAACAGATTGAGAAAACGCTCCGGAGAATGTAGCTTATTGTATACATTTAGAATCAAAGGAGACATCAGTAGGTTACAGAAAGTCCTTTGGTAGGTTAAGGAGGCGGGAGAAAGCATAGCAGGGAAGTCTCTAGGATTGGTTAAAAGGCAAAATGGAGAAACGTAACTTTTACACCGGTGGATACCGCAGGGTTAACATTTACAACAGAGGGTATGCAGGGAACAAGATAACAGGTTCTGTGGTCTCTGGTGCCAGCAGTTATACCTTCGAGAGGTAGGTAAAGAAAATTACTGTGATATTTAAAAGCTGTTATCCAGATGCATAAAAACAATGGAAAGGGCTCACAAGGTACAGAGTGACCTTTGCTAAGGAAGTTACAGGTTTGGGACTATCTGCTACGACTTGCCCAATTAGGAGTTTGTGATCAGACCATCTTGTATGGTTACGATGGGCACTGAGCTTGTTAGGCTTGCCATGTGGCGCCCTGATGAGCTTGTCAGGTTTATTCCATAACCCTTTTTTCATTCACAAAGTAAATAGGTGTTAGTTTTTTAATGCCCCAAAACACTTTTTCGGATTCCATTCCTTCATGTGTGTTTCTTGATAAACTGCTTTTTTGTGCAGTTTTCTAAATGGATGGCATTTTTTAAAGGAAAGCCAAATGTGTTTCTGTTGACCTAGCCACTCAAACTAATTGCCATATTCCTCTCTCTCAAATTTTTTTGAGTCCAGGAGTGATGTCCTAAGGACAGGACTTCTTAGAGGAAATGTTTTTCTTAAACCTTAATGTCTCAGAGTATCCAGGATTTTAGTGATAACATTTTACATTAAAATGTAATGCCCTGGGCCAGCCGAGTTGCACATTGGTTAGGAGTTGGCTTGGGATGCCAGGTCTGAGCAGCAGGGCCCCAGTTTGGATCCCACATGAGGGCCAGTGATGCTGCGCCCTCTACAGCTAAGATGGTACTGTCAACAAACAGGGCATAGAAGTGCTCAGATATTGAGTGAATTTGCAAGTATAGGAGCAGACCAACCAAATCTTAGTCCTGGTTTAGGGCTCTGACTATAGAGACAAACAGCTTCCTACTGGCATATATGATGACTGAACTTTTTTCCCCGACAGATCGACCATGTTGATCTAACTTTTCTAAGCCAGTTTGTCTGATATGCCAGCTTGAGCAGCTCCTTTGTCCCCTAGTTCCTTAGGCATCTAGCTGATGGGAGCTCATGTTTCGGTGTTTTCCTCTCAGGTTTACGGATGGCAGAAAGCAAACTTTGAGTGGACCAGGATGAATCCATGAGTAGCAAAGGATTGGTAAGTGATGTACACGTTTCCTAAGTGCCTTTGCCCACATGGCTGAATAGACATAGGATGTGGAGAATGGAGCATGTAGTAACTGCTTTTCTTTTAAATATGGGGCTATCCTCCTTGTGCTCTTATTTTCTGTGATTCAAATATGGCCATTGCAGCTGATGACAATTTTTTTCCCCATCAGATCGACCCTGTTGATCTAACTAAACTATTAAGCCAGTTTTTGTCTGATGCATTGCCTCAGAGATAACTTTCCTTTTGTTTACCACTAACAGACTACTTTCTATGTGGGGATTGGGCTTGCTCTATGGGTGTTTTTTCCCTTAGCATTCAGGTAATTTATCTTTGCTTCATCTGTTAAATTCCTACAGGTCGGAAGCCCTGTGTGCTACTCGGCAGCAAGTAGGTTGATTGTAGCCTGCTCGTCCGCTTGGCTTGGTTCAGTCGGTCCTGTAACAGGTGAGGTTTCTGCAAATGGCGTTGTCCTGGTGTCAACCTAATAAAATTATTATTAAATGTGCCCACAGTCGAGAGGCATTGCATTTGCCCACTTGGGAGTAACCTGGGGACCCAATTCTAGGTTGAATATATAGAACAGGAGGGGAGAATTAAGTCAGCAAGAGACTGTTGATCTACTGGTACTACTAGGTCTTGCAAGAAAGGAAAACATTAAGTCTACACCTCGCACTCCCATTTTTAAACAGAACACTCCCGTTTTCTATATCCTTTGGGCATGTCAAAGATCACTCATGCCTCTAAAATGTTTGCTTTGTGTATAACTGTATAGTCTTTGCCATTTGTAAGTTGTTTTTTCATGACCCTTGATCTCCGTTCGCCCACATAACTGATCTTGAACAGCTAAGAATGTTAATAGTTCCCTAATGTCTGCTTATCCACTTCATATTCAAATACTTCTGTCTCTTGTATGCATTGCATTGGGTTTTTTGTTTTTCTTTTTGTTTTTTTTTGTTTTTTTTATTTTTTTTTAGCTGAGCCATCCTGCTACCTGTTGGCAGCTCAGCAGCTGCTCAGCTCGGGCCGGGCATTGAACCGCTGTTGCTCAGAGCTCAAACTCTTGAGCGAGCTCTTAACCAACTGAGCCACTCGGCCGGCCCTTGCATTGCATTGGTGCTATGTCCCTCCAGAAATAAATACCTTTTGGTGTGCTTCTATTTGTCTACTCTTGAATATTTCCTGTAATTAGAAAGGATTTAGATTGAGGCTGAACATTTTAACATTATAGGTACAACATACAGGCTTCAATGAGGTACAGGATAGATTGAAAGTTTTCTTGGTCTGATAATTGAATGTCCACCTAGTTCCTGAAGTTTTTTAACCAGATGCTCTCACATCCCAAACATGTAGCACTTTATGTATCAAACGAAGTACTGGTTGTAATGGACCTTTTTTTCTTTCTAAGGAGTTTCTTGCCGGTGGAGTTGGAATACAAGGCCTCTAGAAAAAGATTGACACCCTGTATTTTCCTGAAAAAGCACAATACAACTTAGTAGCCTTCCTCTCTGGAGAAGAAAAATAAAAAAAAAACTTTAAATCAAAATGTTCTTGGATTTGGTCATTGTGGATAAACATTGAACGGGGTAATAAGTAATCAGAAATCGACAGGTCAAACTCCAGGGGCAGAGAATGAATCCCATTATTACAGGTAATAAGTGATAAACATATCTACAGAGGTCAAACTCCAGGGGCAGAGGATGGGTCCCACACTGAAACATTTATGTAGGTATTTCTGAATGGGCTGTATGGACTAAGTCATGGGTTCTGTGCTTCATAGGTGATGTATGAGATTAATAAGCATGTTAACTGTTTAGTATTTAATCATGGGAAACTCCAAATGTCATGGACATTCTGGTTTCGTTTAACACTCCCCCATATGTCTTCCTAGTTTCAGCCTCTGCCATCTTGACTGGCTGATCTTGGGCAAATTGCTTCACCACTTTAAGCCTCCGTTTCCCTACCTGAAAGATAACAATATCTAGTTTAGAGAGTTGAGATTACAACAAAATGTAAAGTGCTTAGCCTAAGGGCCTAGCACAGCAGGCACACAAATTCATAATCTGGTGAAAAAGAATTTCCATATTGGCATGGGAATAGGTCTGTATTGGGGAGATAAGTGTTCATTGAGCACGGAACCATGTGTGGTATATAATCTATACTTAAACCTTGTTCATTGCTATTTAATTTTATAGATAGGAAAAGGGGCTCTGGGAGGTTGAGCAGTTTACTTGAGGTCACTGCCTTGGAAGTGATGGGATTTGAACTCCATCCTGGGCTCAACAAGGCTCCACTGCCTTGCAAAGATAGACTTGCTTCAGACCCTCACCAGTTGTGTGAAAGAAATCAAGCATTTGGGGAAAGAAGGGGTCCACACACCATCTTCCAGAATTCCAACCAGGCTGGTAATGTCTCCTCTGCACCTCCTTGTTGGCCCGGAACAGCAGTTTTTACAAATGGTTCCAAGCCTGGGGTTAGTCCCAGCCCCTGACAGACAACTTCTGACTTCTAGCTTGGCTTCCAGTCACCCATCTATAAAATGGGCATAACATTACTTTTGGGGGGTACTGAGAGGGTCAAATCAGAGGTCAAAATGCTTAGTGTAGCACTTGGCACAGGATAAGTGTTCAATGAGTAATAATACAAAGGAACAAATCAGTACATTCAACAATTTGATAGATCCCAAACATGATACTGACTGGAAGCCAGTCTCATGGTTATATACTGTATGATTCCATTTATTTGATATTCTGGAAAAGAAAACGTGATGGGGAACATGATTACTGTATTTCCCCGTGTGTAAGACGCACCCTTTCCCTGAAAAATTTGGGGTCTAAAAACGGTGCGTCTTACACTGGTTGTATGAGCACAAAAACAAGCGTGAAAAAAACGGGAAATGCAAGTAAAAAAAACCCCCTACAACCACTGTATAAGACGCACCCAGTTTTTAGACACCACATTTTTTGAAAAAGGGTGCGTTTTATACAAGGGGAAATACGGTAGTGGTTGCCAGAAGTTTGGATGGTTATGGGGTGTGGATATAAAGGAATAGCACAAGGAATTTGGGGGAGGTATCCTTGTGGTTATGCAAATTTATACATAAAATTCATAGACCTGTACAACAAAAAATAGTGAATTTTATTGTATGATAATTGTAAATACATTAAAAATAAACATGGCCTCTGGAATCATTTCTTGGTTTGAATCCTGGCTTTGCTGCTTACTATCCACTGTGACTGGACAAGTGCTTTACCTCTCAGCCTCAATTTCTTCAGAAAACTGGAGATCTACTAGTACCCACCTTATGAGGCTATTTTGAGGAGTAAAGGAACACTTAGAATTCCGCTTGGAACATAGAAAGAGATTCTCAAATGGTCGTTAGTTTTTCTTTTCTTTTAATCTAGATTTTGACTGCCTCGGAACGAGGCCACACAATTGCCAGGGAAGGTGGAGCTGGGGCCCCTTCAGGGACTTACAGCTCCAGCCTGTGTCTGCAGGGGGCGCTGTGGGCACACATTTCTCCATGCCTGTGGCCAGAAGCATTCATCCTGGGGCTATGAAGGGGTACGATGGCTGGCCGGGCAGGGGCATTGAAGATGGGCGTTTTTCAGGTCGTGTAGCCAGCACTTCTGGAGTCCACCGCAGCAGCGGAGCCTGACAAAGGGCGAGTTCCCCAGGCCTGAAATGTGGGCTGCTGACGTGTGACCTCCAGACTCATCATGCAACAAACCAACCAGAAACAAATTTACCCATGATCCCTTCAATCTAATATGTGAGTAATCAATTTTCACTTCACGGGAGCATGGTGGGGGCTTCCCATTTTTAAAGGAAGCCAGAAAACCTTAAAATACTGGCAATTGATTTCCAAGTTTATAAACTCAGAAGACAGCAATGCACAGGTGTGGGCCTCATGGCTTGGAAACCAGCTTGAGACTTCTGCAATTTGAGCTGTGTCCCTTTCAGCACTGCCTTTGTCACAGCTGGGCCATATAAAAACCATGCCCAGTTAAATCTGAATGTCAGATCAACAACTGTGTTAGTGTATGTCTCATGCAATATTTAGAACAATTGAAATTATTTGCCGACATTGAAATTTAAGTGGTAAATCTGGCAACCTCATTCCTGAGAGCACCTGGCTTGGGATGGTGGCATCTGTTCTTTAAGATAAAGCCTTGATGGACCTCGTACCTTATGAGTAACTTTCATATTCTCTGTCGACTGGGATTTTTTTTCCAAGGTTGTCTGGGGGGGAAATTGGGGTTTACAAGATTTCCCAATAGTCAGTTTCCAAACTGGCTTCAAGGTCTGGGTGGGTGGGACGGCTGGTCCCTTGATAATTCCTCCTAAGGTCCCAATGTTAACTGCAGGTCTCTTTTGACTCTTATCTGTTCGTCATGGCAGAAACAAACCATCTTGGGCTTATTTATATCTGTGACTTTTTTAAAAAGAGAGAAAAGGTGAAGTCTGGGTCTTCTCACTTGGCAGGCTCATTTAAATAAATGGTTCTTTTGCTGAAACGAACCAGCGCCGCGGGGCCACAGTGTACAGGTGGGAAAACCTGGGTTGGGGGTGGTCCTGGTGGGTGAGAGCATTTTTTGGCTCTGATGTTAAAATGGTGGTGTGTGCAGTCTGGGACTTCGATGTCACTTTTGGCTCTGCTCAGGTTGGCCTGATGTACATGCTAGGCTGCCTCCAACATTTCACTGTCCCAGTGTTTGATCAAGTCCAAATATACCTTTCTAAGCCCTGTTTTCTCCCTACTTCATCACAATAACAACAGCAACTGTCACTTATTGAGATTTCCTACCAGATCGCATGCTAGGTACTTTCCATGTTATAAATTAGTTAGTCCTGACCCTCAACTCTACAAGGGAGGTAATATATTATTATACCCGCTTTACAGATGAGGAAGCAGGTTCAGCGAGGGGAAGTAACTTACTTGCACTGTTAGTAAATGGCCCTGCCAATGTCTTCCTTTGCCCGTCAGAGTCCTCTTCTCACCCTAGTCCACCGGGCTCATTGCTGTTGGCGCATGGGCCACATAGGTAGCTCTCAGCCCTTGGTGGGGGCTTCAGCAGGAGACGGGGTTGGGGATGGGAGAGGATGGAGAGTGAGGCTGAGCTACGCTGGATCCTATGGCAACAGTATGTTTTGTTTTGTTAGAAACTGCCGAGCTGTCTTCCAAAGTGGCTGTGCCATTTTGCATTGCCACCAGCAATGAATGAGAGTTCCTGTGGCTCCACCTCCTTGCAAGGACTTGGTGTGGTCAGTATTCCAGATTTTGGCCATTCTAATAGGTGTTTTAATTTGCATGTCCCTGATGACATGTGATGTGGAGCATCTCTTCATAAACTTATTTGCCATCTGTATATCTTCTGTATTTTCTTTCTTCAATGTTATGGTACATATATAATGTGAAAACATGGTGGAATAAAAGATGATTCTTAGGCAACAAAAGTGAAAATAAATAAACTGGCCCCTTCTCAGTTTTAGTCTTAAGAGTCTACTAGCTGATGACTTGTAAGGAAAAAAGGTATTTGCATCACCTGTTTCATGGCCTAAGGCACATTTGCTCACTTTTAGCCATCGACTGCCAGAGATAAGAACTGTTGGGAACCACTCTGCCCCTGTACCCTAGCCCCATTTTATAGACTCAGGAAACTGAGTCCCAGAGAGAGAGCGTGACTTGTCCAAGGACACACAGTGAGTTCCTCCTGATACCTGGTCCAGGGTCCTTTCTCATTGAGGAATAGTGAAGGACTCTCTCCTCCAGCAACGCCAAAGATGGACTTATTGTTAGACTATGTCATTTTCAAAGAAAACTTCCATTTTAAGATAAAGTGGCTTTCAGGGAAAATTTGAAAGATATAAATAAAAGCTTTTTTTTTTATCATCTTAAAAAATGGTTCTTGCAGCCAGTCAGGAAGGACATAAAAATATTCAACATTTCAGAACATAAAAAAGATATATGGCTCTTACGAAAATTCTGTAAAATTTAGAAAAGAAAAACAAAACTAATATTAAAATACAAAACAGCGTTCTATTTAGACTTTCTAGCTAGGAAAAGCCACAGGACATGCCGTGGGAGCCAGACTGTTGCTAAGAAAGGAAAGGATATTTGTGTGTATTAGTCAGTCCCCCAACTCCTGCCGCTGCTCCATGTGCAAATCTCATGTGGATTGGCATCCTGTGATCAATCACTTCCCAGCTGTGTGACTTGGGGAAATCATGTGAGCTTTCCTTGCCTCAGTTTTCTTACCTGTAACATGGAACTCATAAAGATGCCTCACTGGGGGGTTGAAAAATATCTGGCCTGAGAATTCAATAAAGATGCTCGGTAAAGACCTGTTAAATGGACAAATGCTTGATGCCCACCAAAGGTATTAGCAAAATAGGAGAGTGAGTGGAGTTGGCAATTTAATGACATGCTTATTTATTTTACCCATGGGGTGCTGTCCTTACGGCATTTTTTTTTTAAACATTGAAGTCATCTTTTTTTTTTAAAGCT